CCGCTATGCCACCAGGGAGGGTCCTGATTAAGCTTTTTAAATACTGAAATCCAAGGCATCAAAGATTACTTTGCAATAAAAACTATACATGCAATGAGATCAATATTAAGGGAATCACATGATTGAAACTTTAGAAAGTGATATAGCCTCTTGGAAACTTTGAAAATATTTTTTTTCTCCCTAGAAAAGATGAATTGGAAATATATTAATAAATTTGGGTGCATGGCTTAGATTTTTATGTTAAATCTATTTAATTTAGGATTATGTTAACAGCCACTTATTGGCTTAATGATATTTAATGTAGATCTTTATTAACGTAGGGTTTCCAAGGACAGTGAAATTGTCCAATCTAATGAAAACAGAGTGCAAGATAAAATTCTATCTTCCTTCTCTTTTATGACCCTCGTAAAACCCCAGAGTACCTTTTTAAAAGAGCTTAGGGGAGATTAACCTTTTACATCATCATTACATCTAATGTTATGACATTTTACAGTATCATTGACACCCTTTTTAACCTTAGCCAGTTGATTGTGCTATTCATACTGTAAAATGACTAACATTTCCTTTCCCCAAACCTGTTGGTGGGGGAGAGACTGCCGTTATCCCTTTGCCCTGGTATCTCTGGCTCAATCAACACTTTTCAATAAAGTTTCAGCCTTGATAGAAATTCTCTATCTCTGCTGTTTGGTAGCTACATGTGTCAAGTTAAGTACTTGAAAGGTGGCCTCTGTAACTAATAAACTGAAATGCACATTTTATTTCTTAAAATTTAAATGAAAAGCCCAATTTTTGTGTTCTTTTCAACGTAGACATTGAATTCTGAAGGCTTTACCCTTTACTCCAATTAGGGCTTCATTTCCTTTCTGGAAATGGGAATCATCCTCTGAATATTTCCTGTTATGGTGGCATTACAAAGGTATTTTCCTTTATTATAACTCAATTTGTGATCTGTTCGTTTCACCATTAACTGAAGAGAAACATAGGTCATTAGAGGGCCAAGTTGAGCATCTCGTTCCAGTAGCCCTTCCGAAACATGGGTAGTGTGTCTTGGCCCCTCTGAATTTGGATTGTCATCTTCCTTGGTCAGTCTGCTTTCCAAAAGTTTTTTTGCTTGTCTTCAGATAGAGCTGGCAAGTTCTTGCCTGTGGCTTCAGATGCTCCCCTTGATGAGGTTGGACCCCAATTCTCTCCCTGCTTCCTGAGCAGTGTCTTCTTTCTCCGAACCATCGTCTTCACAGAGCTGTGGGCAGATGTCAGATCTCAGGGTGTATTTAGTTTATTTGTCTTCCTCCTAACTTGACTCTAGAACTTTCTGTTTCTGAAACAGTAGTGACTGATTTCAGAGCTGGTGCTTTACAAATATCTGCGTTGAATAAATGAACAACAGCACTTCACTTTAATAAATGGGCCTCCTTATTCACCCACACCTTCCCCCATTTTGCATACCTGCCTGCTGAGAGAACAATAAAAATGTGCTTGAAGAAACCTTGAGAGGTCAAAGCTTTTGTTGATTTAAAATAGATATAAATGCAGGTTTCTCCATCGTTCTTTTCTACTATATTTAAATGATGAAGAATCATTTTTGTGGAACTTTACCCCCTAACTTGTTTTTTGTATTATATATTTTTTAAAAATAACTGGTCACGGCCCTCCCTGGTGGCGCAGCGGGTTAAAGCACTGCACAAAGAAGCATAAGCCACTTCCACATGAGTTCGATCCCCGCCTGCCCCGGAGGTGACCACATGGCGTGGCAGACCTCTCCTGACCCACCCGCTGCTCCCCTCAGCAGTGTACTTTGTCGATCTGCCTGTTCTGTTCCCCACTCTGTCTCTGGTGAATCCTCTCGCCGCCTCTGAGCCTCTGGCCTGTACCCCAGTTCTGTATGAAAAAATAAATAAATCTTAAAAAAAAATAACTGGTCACTTTAAAATATTTGTAGCTATCAAATACATTATTCAAGCTAGAAAGGAATAACTCTGTGAAGCATATTTGTGACAGAGAGCCATGTGCTATGTTGAGGCTACATTCCGCCTCAGTATCTATTGTTTGCACGTTCAATACCCCAAAAGGAACTGAAACAGTTGGGAGTTAGCACAGTAAGTCAATTCCCCAAAATGTGAGTTCCCATGAATATCTGTTAAATAAAGAAGCATTTTAAAACTCTGAAAACATCATTGATGACGAGTTATCTCTAGTCTTGGGGAAGCATAAGCTTTGCAGTATGTAGAGTAAAAATGAGAAAGAACAACTTATTAAACACAAACTTAAGGTTTCTTATTGCAAAGGATTCAGACTATAGCCCAAGAGAAGGCTTTCATCTTGGAAGATGAAAGAATGGCATGGAAACAAGAACACTGAAGGCTACTACGGCAGCGTGCATTTATTTGGGCATATGGGAGTAATCCACTAAGCACATAGTTATAATCTGTTGGAGAGGAACCAGAACAGATTTTCCAGGCAAAGATTCTGCAGATCAGATTTCTTTTTACTGTGGAAGGAGAAAGATACAGAGACACACATAAACCAATACCAGTTTGTTTTTATTTCAAAGTCAGTACTGTATGTCTCTTAAAAAGTGTTGCCTTCATTTTTATAGACAGTAATTCAGGTCCTGGGTATCATAAGTTTCAGTGATGAGTAGCATAATTTCCGTGCAGTCAAAATAGTTAATTGCTTAGGAAAGGGCATCCACATGCTCTTCTACTCAATCACTGTGTGTAACTGGGTTTCCAAGGAATGTAACATTTGGCTTAGTTATTGATTAGAGACTTCAATGCACATGGAAAGTAGAGGGTCAAATAGTCTGTGAGTTCAAGCTGTGATTGTATGTGTGTTTAAAAATACAGGTAAGAAATTACAAAAATTTGGTGAGCTATATTGTGGCAAAATGGTTTGTAACTGCAAAGAGTTTTTCATTTAATATAATTGAAATTACTTAGTTCTCCTCTGTCACAGTGAAATGTTTTGTCAGGGGTAGGTAATTGCAGTTTGCTCTAAAATTAATCAATATGAACACAGGAAAGCTGGCAGTCAAGCAGAACTGGGGTCTTGCTAAATCACAATTTTGTAACACGAGGTCACTGATAGCACCTTAGACTGAATAGAAAACATTGTAAGCGCAAGATAATAAAATGAAATTTTAAATTATATAATATTCCCCAAATTATTCAATATGTCAAAATTCTTTATTTGCATATTATTTTTATTTCATTTGTAGCTGTTTTGAATTAAACATAGCAACTTAGAGTTTGAATAGTTTGTTTTATGTTAGCTGATGGAGCACGTGAATAAATATTGTAGGATCCTTGGCTTTTGCATGAACTGTTTGCCAGCCAGTTCCTGACAATTTAGAGATATACATCACTCAGAATTTTTTCCTTGCAGCCAAAAATATTAGCTGGTAGACTGTGGTCATTAATTTACGAATTAGAGAAAAAACTAGATTAACTAGAGATAAATGAATCTTAGTTCTTCTGAAAACACAAACTTTCAATGCAGGCTTAGGGTATTTTTCAGCATTTGTTACAAGAGCGCCACCAAATGTGACCAGTGGGGAAATTGGTGATCAAGTTAGCCCGAGCAGCACTGTCAGCTTGAGGCAGAGGTGCAGGCAGATCAGACAGATGTCCCAAAAGGAAATTGCTGGTAGGGCTGAGGCTGTGGTGGTGGCTGTGTCTTCTTGGAGGCCCCCAGCGTACTCAGTGAAGGAGCAGGTTTGTGGAAGTGGATTCTTAATACCAAACGAAAGGTGAGCGTAATTTTAGGATGTGAAACCTAACCAGGGACACAGCAGGCCTACGTCTGCCCTCAATGTGGAAGGACATGGACACTAGATGATTTCATTTCACCCATTGGGCGCTTCACATAAGTCCACACTATCCTTTGAGCGCTGCCGGGTTGAGTAAACGCTGTTTCCCTGAGTAAATGCTGATTCCCGGAATTTGTGGAATTCCTCTGACCATCTGTTCAAGTGGTGTGGGCTTGAGACTGGATACGTGGACCTCCTCCGAGGCCCTAGCAAGGGTGACTAAAGATTTCATGTTTTTATTTAAATTTCTATTCTCAAGGGCATTTGCTCTTATCTTAAGCACATGCAAACAACTTTCCAAACATGGCTCCTTGACAGTGAAGTTCATAATTACAGAACGTGAGCCTACTTTTTGTTGTTAAAACCAAAGGTGTATTTGAACCAGAGACTGCCCCTTTAAATCGGAGTACAGTGTGCTATCATTAGTGACTTATATACGGTTGTTTTTGATACCTCACGGGCATTTGTCTCTTGGTGTCCATCAATCTCATACCAAATAGTGTCCCGACTAAGCAATTCCAATTGTTGTCCGATTTTTTATGGTAAGTGTTGGTGATGTTCTGCTTTCAATAATTTACTTGGTTATAAGATGCATTAAGACATTAATAATTTCCAAAAGTAATTGGCTTTTTTGTTGTTGGAAAGAACAGTGGTACAGCCTGTTGTGAATAGTCAGTGTGCACAAAAAATAAATTAAGATGAAGGAAATAGTCTCAGTAGGAATCACACCTGGTTTGTGTCTTTCCAAGCCTTTTATTTGTCTATCATTTCCCGTTCTCTATCTTTCTTCATATATGTGGGTGAAATTATACTGGCATGTACGTATATATGCACTCTGTATGAACTACAGAAATTGTTTTATAATTTTGGATTATATTGTGAGCATTCTTTTTGAAAGCTCAGATATAAAGCCTTTGTACTATGGAGGGACATACTTTGCTATTTGGACATATATTACCAATAAATATTATGAATATTCAGCTTACTTGGATAACTACAAGCAACCTATTCTGGCTTATTAAAATCACTAAATAAATACTATAATTTTCATCTGTGAAAATTTTCTTTCACAGAGGGTTGACTTCTTTCTTGAAAATGAATGTTCATACACGATGACTAGGCTAATTTAAAGTATATAATTCCTTTCATGTAATTCAAGCTTCTAAATGTGGTTAGTGTTTTCTCTCAACAGGGCCCATTTGGAGGCCAGTGCTGAGAAGTGGAACAGGTTGCTGACATCTTTAGAAGAACTAATCAAATGGCTGAATATTAAAGACGAAGAGCTTAAAAAGCAAATGCCCATTGCGGGGGATGTTCCTGCCTTACAGCTCCAGTATGATCACTGTAAAGTAAGTTGCCCACATGAAATGGAGCACATGAAATGGTGTCTTTTTTTTCTTCACTTCAATTACAGTAAAATAAATACTCAAGTTAAAATTTTAGATAAAATTTCAGATAGATATCAGAAAACCTGTAGGTATATTTCAGAATTGAACCAGCTATCATGTTTCTATCCCTCCCTGCCAATTATTTTGGCATTTAATTTAAATACCATGCATTTACTTGATTTGTTTCAAATTAATGTGTCTTTTCATCTTTACCCTAATTTTTTTTCAGGTATTATAGATATCTATAGAATAGTCCCCTTAGCATATAATGAAACATATTTTAAATATTTAATATATTGGAAGAATTTTTTTCAATACAAGCTAATTTCAAGTTCAGAAATCATAAAATCATAAAAATGATGAACTATTTAGTTTATAAAAATGAATAGTAGGCCCTCCCTGGTAGCAAAGTGGGTTAAAGCACAGCACTAAGAAACTAACGCCACTTCAGCTTGAGTTCAATCCCTGCCTGTCCTGGAGGTGACCCACGTGGTGCGACAGACCTCTACAGACCTCTTCTGACCCGCCTGCTGCTCCCCTCAGCAGTGTATTTCATCAGTCAGCTTGTTCTGCTCCCCACTCTGTCTTGGTGAATCCTCTTACCACCCCTGCACCTCTGGCTTGAGCCCCAGTTCTGTATGCATAAATCAATAAATGGTACAGGCCGGAGGCTCAGGGGCGGTGAGAGGCTTCACCAGAGACAGAGTGGGGAGCAGAATAGGCAGATCTACGAAGTACACTGCTGAGGGAAGCAGCGGGTGGGCCAGGAGAGGTCTGGCTCGCCATGTGGTCTCCTCCGGGGCAGGCTGCAGGCGGGAATCGAACTCATGAGGAAGTGGCTTCAGATTCTTAGTGCTGTGCTTTAACCCGCTGCGCCACCAGGGAGGGCCAATAAATAAATCTTTTTAAAAAAAGTAATAGTAAAAAAGAGTATAAGGAATTTGGTATTATGAAAACAAATTTAAGTCATCAAGCACATGATCACTGCTGTATTTATAGTTATTTTTATGTTTTATTTTTCTGAGCTATGTTATTATCTGCTCAATTTTCTGTGCCTGCAAATGTGTGTTTTCACTGTAATGAAAAGATATGCTGAAATTTTATTAACTGACACATTAAATTCCTAGATCTATTGTTTAAATATTTTGCCTTATTAACTTGCCATTAGTTCATTTAATATTCCTTCCTATTCATTAGCTCATATATGGGGTATTAGCTTATTTTCTTATATAGTTTCTATTCTTAACATACACTGCAAGTTGTCATTCTAAATATACCCATATAATGTGATGTGAGAATTTAATTCACTTTTAAGTGATAAATATGATGCATGCATCATTTAAAGAAGATAGCATCCGTGTATTAATGTATCTCAATGCAAAATTATAAGACTGTAATTTTGTTTCAAACCCTTCTACTAGGTTGTTTAAATTATTATGTGGGTTGTTTTTGCTTTTCTACTTGAAAAGTGAATGTGTTTGAAAAAATAGCTCTCAGATTAAAAAAAAAAAAAAAAAAAACAACCGGAAGGCTGTTGGTGCAAAATGTGCAGTTATTCTAATTCCAATAATAATAATGATGATGATAGAATATTTTAAGTTAAAATTTAGGAAAATGTTTCCTTATACTCTCTCTCCAGCTTTCCCTTCTATTAACTGTTCTTGTCCATTTTATGGGCTCAGATAGTAGTGAGGAAATAGAGTAATACAAAGCATTCTAATAGAATTGCTCTGTGAGGAATAAAATCTGCTGTGACTGTATACTACTAGCTTCAATTAAATCTTGAGACGCAAAGTGGCTTTCCTCTTCTGACCTCAGCACATCCTTGTAGTAAGTGCTGGCTCTGTCCTAACACCTCCCCCAGCACAGTTACCCTGCTTTAGATTATACTGCACTCCATCTCGGAGCATTGTATGCCGTGATGTATCCCACGGTGGTAAGGACCATAAAGAAGTGAGCAAGGTCAGGAGAGAGAGAGGGAGCAACACTCTCCGCAACAAAGGTAAGACTTACGTAGAGAAGGTCAGGACATTAAATGGGGTGGGTTTTGCATGGAGACCTGAATATGTAAAGGTACTCTTAAGGCAATGGGGACAGAAAGACACAGGCCACAGAAGTTGTACAGTTCTGGGCATATTTAATGAGCAGTCTGGGAGCAAATTCAAGAGTTTTTTTTTTCTACCTTAAGCAGTTTATAGCCAACTAGATATTCAAGTCTAAACTTGGGGGAAAGGTCAGGGCTGAATAAATTATCAGTATTTATATTATCCATGGAATTGAATGAGGTCATCTAGTAGGCATGAATTCCACAATATGAACCCTGAGCCACCTTAGCTTTAGAGTTCAGAAGGATTTAGAGAGAAGGCAGAACCAAAAGATAGAAAAACCAAGAGAGGGCCCTCCCTGGTAGCACAAGGGGTTAAGTTGTAGCACTGAAAGCTGGATGCAGCTACTTCAGTCCAAGTTCAACTCTTGGCCCTGGAGGTGATTCACATGTCGTAGCAGACCTCTCCTGACCTGCCTGCTGCTCCCCTCAGCAGTACACCTTGTTGATCTGCCTGTTCTGCTCCCCACTCTGTCTCTAGTGAATCTTCTCACCACTCCTGTACCTCTGGCCCCGAGTCCTGCACCCCTGTACCCTAGTTCTGTATGCATAAATCAATAAATCTTAAAAAAAATAAAAGAACCAAGAAAGAACAGAATCTAGACTACTAAAGGAAAATATGTCAGGAAGAGGATATAATCACAAACACCTAAGAAGTTGAATTGACCAGCTAAAGACATTCTTGTTGACTTTGACAAGAATCAGTCCATTTACATGATGGAGCTGGAATTAAGATTGTGGTAGATTCAAGAGAGAATATGAGCAGAGGATATATAGAAAACCCTCATGATTTTTTTACAGCAAAGGAAACCAAATTGAGGTGGTAGCTGGAAGGAGTATGTGGGGTGATATAGTGGTTTTGTAAAGTGCTTAAATGCTTTGCCTTATTAACTTGCCATCCAACATGTTCTTTGTTCATGGAAATGAATCTGTGAAGTGGGAAGACAGCAATGAAGATGAGACAAGGCCATGCAGGACCAGTGATGGGGATAATCAACCAGTGATCAAGCATCAGTGGAGTGCTTGATCTTAATTAGGAGGGGAAAGAGTTCATACATACTCTTTTTAAATATTTATTTATTTATGCATACAGAACTGGGATACAGACCAGAGGTGCAGGAGTGGTGAGAGGATACCCCAGAGACAGAGTGGGGGGCAGAACAGGCCAACTGACAAAAGTACACTGCTGAGGGGAGCAGCTGGCAGGTCAGGAGAGGTTTGCTGGGCCATGTAGATCACCTCTGGGGCAGGGGTCAAACTCATGCTGTAGTGGCTTTAGCTTCTTAGTGCTGTGCTTTGACCCACTTGGGAGGGCCCCGAGTTCATATATTTTAACAGAAAAGGATGTGAACTATATGGGTGCAATTTGATAATATATAGTACTGTGATATATAACAACATACAGTATAGATTCTCTTTTTATTGACACTGTTTTCTCAGTGAAATAAGAAGCAAAGTCATCCACTGAATAGGATAAGAGGGAAAATATGGAGATGGCTGAGGAAAGAGAAGATAGACAATGTAGTCCAAAAGTGTATGTGTTCATAAGCTAGGAATGTACAAGACCACAGGTGGTGTGATTGGTCAGCTTGAGTTCAGTTCTCATGAACTTGAACTTAGAACAGCTGGTGTCAATATTTTTCTTCATCTGCATTTAGTTGTTTCTGTGAAGGTGAAGAGTTAACTGGAGAACTGAATTTACAAATGTGAAGGAAAAAGAGAGAAAGGAGGGAGTTATAAAATTACAAAAGATTTAAGAAATCCTAGGAAGTTAATGCAGCGATCACATGCGGAATAGAAGTCGAATAAGGAAGACGAGGATGTGAGAGAGATGAGGGGTGGGAAAGCTGTCTGTGGTCAGTGGCCTGGACACATCAGTGGAATTTAGACTTGTTCAGTGGGGAATGGGAGAGGAGCATGCACTTCAGAGAAGCAGCTGGTGGTCAGAGAAGGGACACTAGAAATGGAGTTTATGGACTCCAGAAGATGTTATTAAGGACAATAGCTGGTGTTCTTGTGAAAGTAAGGTGCACAAGCTGGGTGGAGAACAGGGTTGGTGGAGAGCAGCTCAAGTGTCTGAAAGGCTGGAGTGGTGGAGCATCATGATCAAATCATGAGCTGGAGACAAAGCCGGTTGTCAAGATGATGGTTAAGAGAAGGGTAATGTAGTGTAGTTGGGGATTCTAATGCAATAATGGCTTCTGTCCTTTTCATCCATTGAATCTTAGATGGAGCTAAGGATCATTGGATCCTTAGCTGGAAATGGGTAGAGGAATAAACCACATTGGATATAGGTTATTCCTGCTTTCTAAATTCCTTGGTGCCCATTTCTTAATCTAGGTTATTATTGATCTAGACTACTGTTGAACCACTGAGGGATGTTTTCCCCAATGAGTGGGGTTTCCATTTGACAGTCTGTATTTACCTTTTTGAATTATGTATTGGATAGAGCACACATGAATAACACTGATAGTGTTTCTCATCTCCTTTTATATCCTATTATGAATAATCCTTATGTAGAGGTTCTCACTGATTCTACATTCTAGTGTGCAGTCACTTGTGGTCTTTTCTAGTATCCTTACTAGTTTACTAATGATCCAAAACTGTAGGCTCTATCAACATTATATAATATCAGTGTTTTGACAGAAGCTTCATGAATAACTGTGAAATAAGCAAGCTGAGATGCTAGGAGACATAAATTAGGAAATATATTTTAGAGCAGTTTAGTGGAGATGCACATTAATTTCGCTATGGCCCCCATAACAGAGCTCATACGTGGGTTGGTTGGTTTGAACAATGGGAAATATTTTCCTCATAGTTCTGGAGACCTGAGATCTGAGATCTAGTACTGACAGTC